TATCAAAGGAACAACACTGATAATTACCTCCACATTTTATTGTCCTGGAAAGTGCCAAATCTCCTTTATTTAATGTTATTCCTTACAAAAAAGTTTTTATTATTTTTTTTTTGCATCACTATCTGCATGATAACCATGTGCAAAGCTTCTCACTTTCGTCATTTGGTTTTAACTTTTTGTAATTAATAAGTTTTCAAATGTTCTCTGAAACATCCATAAGCACCCTTTAGAAAGAATTTTAAAAGTGAAATACAAATTAAACTAACAGGGGACAACATTCAACTGCATTTTCTAGAGAACATTTTTATCCCCAACTACATATGCTTCATCTAATCAATGGAAAGTTTTTCATTATCCTGTTTTGCTAAAACAAATATCAAAGGGGATATATCAACTACATTGAAAAATAATAGTTTTTAAAAAGTTCTTCACTTTGGAAGCTACAGAGAAATCATATTCAACATTCGAAAATGGGATACTGAGCAAATAAACATGATAAGTGAAGGTGTCAGTGAGAGGTAATGACTGATACAATATTTAAACAGCTTCAAGATAGAAGACAAATTATTTGAACTAATGTTCTCATTTTTTCCTGTCACTGTTGAATATTGTGCTTATAACTATTAATGAAATATTCATACAGCCATAGAAAATATGAAATAAAATATTAAACTAAAATATTTATTTTATAACTTGAAACTGAAGAAAAATGATATAACATAAAAATGTACAAAAACAAGATAAGACTATGTATGTATGTAAAGGTTAAATTTACTTCCTATATGTCACAAGCAGGGAAATTTGACAAAAATTAAATGCAGTAAGACATCAACTTAGTCAATAAAGTTTCTTTTTCGGGTGGAGGGTAGGGGAGTAAAATAACACTGTTATACATCTAATAGATATTCTATTTGAGAATAAATTAAGTAATATTTCATTTAACCAATAAATAAATAAAATAAAGAGAAGTTTTATATATTTTTAAGATTATAATTTTTCATGAAATGGTAGAAAAGCCGGCACATAAAATATAATCTTTACTAAAGTACACTAAAAAAAAAAAAAGCAATTTGAAAGCAATGTGTGGATTAGCACATTACACATACTAAAATATTTTAAAATATCATTGCCAACCTTGTTTTTAAGCCTAAATTCTATGAGCCTCATCTTTAAAAAAAAAAATTCGGGTAAAAGATCTAATTTTTAAAAACTGGAATATAAATGTCATTCCAGATTATACCAATGAAAAAGAACACAATGTCAAATCTCATTCAATGAGCACACATATAGCCATAAAACCATATTTCCCAAGTCATTATTGTTTGTGATGCACATTTAAGTGCACAGAACATTTGCCTTTATGGCAGTTTTATTCTCAACATAGTAAATGGCAAGAGGATTTCAGTTCAATTGACTTTCTCATAAAAGATTTAATTCCCTATTTGGCATGGGTTACATACTGAGTTTCTTACTCCAGCTATGTCTATACTCTGAGTAACTAAATTCTGCCGTGTGTGACAGACTGACCTGGTGTCAGGGTGAGAGGAAGTTGTACCTGTTAAGTGACATGAAATTCCAGCAGCTACAAAACACTTTGGGGGTGGGGGTGGGGATGGGAAATGGCATTAAGGGAAAACCATCATTACAATAAATAGCTAGGCATCACATAAAACTAGAAAGTTTTATGCTATGTATAAGCATAACCATAAAGTATTTGATGCCAATAAACAAATACTACATTATTCTATACCCTATTATTGTCAATTTCTTTGTAATCATATACACTTGAATAAAAATAAATTAGAAAAATATTATGTTCATAGATATATTTTATGTTTTATCTACAGTTCCACAAATCATAAACCATAAAGATAATTCTTAGTGAATTCATCTGTATGTAAGAATCATTAGTGGTAAATGCTGAGCATACTACAGAAACATTTAGATATTTAACACAAATAATAGTAAGAAGATCTATGTAATTATAAGTACAATTATAGAAATAGATATATAGATATAAAGATATACATATACATGTATTTTTAAGCCTGAATTCTCATTTTAAATTAAAACAAATGAATCAATATATACACTTGTGCAAATATAACTTATTTTAAATATATTCTTTTTGTAATGTTTAGGTAAAAATACCAATGGCAATTCTGATAAATTCAGTATGTGAAACAAATATGACTTATCTTATAGGTCAATAATGAATAAATAATGCAAATTCTGCTTTCTTTAAAATTGTTTTAAGTATCTGCTAGTATTTTCCCAGTACCATTTTTCAGTGAATTCTTTTATTTTGATATAACTGTAAACTCATGTGCTGTTGTAAGAAATACTACAGAGAGAGTCCCTGTATGCTCCAACCAATTTCTACCAATGGTAACATTCTGCAAAATTACAGGGTAGGCAAAAGTAGGTTGACAGTTGATCATATGGAAAATAATACAGTAATTAATAAATAATAATACAAAAACAAACTCTGTGTTTCACATACAACTGTAAATCTACTTTTGCCAACCTTTGCAGAGTACAATATCATAACCAGGATATCAACTTTAATACTGACCAGTAATCTTCCTCAGATTTCCTGTTTTACTTGTATGCATTTGTGTGTAGGTGTATGTTCTACTCAGTTTTACTACAGGCATTTTTGTCCACTATAGCCAGGAAGATACAGAATAGCAAAGATTTGCAAATGTTTTCAAAACTTAATTTGAAGGCACTATTAACTTTTTAAAGCAGAAGTTAACAAACTTTTGCTGAAAAGATGCAGATAAAATACTTTTTAGGTTTTGCTGGCCACACTTTTGCTGTTGCAACTACTCAGCTCTCCTTTTATAGTACAAAAGCTCCCAAAACAATTTCTAAACAAATGAATGTGGATTGTTCCCACAAAACTTGATTTGTTTCTTCCTTTGCACCATTAGTGGAAACTATAAATAGCTGAAATTCTACAGAAAATAGTCACAATCACAAGAATTTATTCTAGCCATCACAACGATGTCAAGCCTTCAGCTATATAGTCTTCTTTTATGTCCAAAACTTAGCCAGTTGCACACTACTAAGACAGGCAATTTACTGTTTTGTTCTGTACTACCTACTTCCGTCCTGCCGAAATAGAACCCTTTTGTGAGTGATACATACATTAGGCAAAACACCAAAACCAACCAACAAACAGCAGATTCACAAATTCTGAAAACTGGGAAATGTTTTAACTAAATCAGAAAAAAAATAAATGGAATTTTAATACTATATATAATGATTTTGAATTAATTGTAAATGTAATAAATATGCTTGGTAAAAGTGTGAAGGACCAAAGTTTTTGAAACCATTGTGTATAAACTCATACAGGGGTGACATTCTTAGTAATATCTAGTTCATCTATCTCTATGCTGATTTATATAGTGAGTTGCATTATGCCTTAGCATCCAGCAATAAAGCAGAACATTAAATACACTAGATTTTCCCACATTATATTTAATATCATATATTTCCATATAATCAATTCTTAAGTGTCTCTGGATAAAAATCTCAGCTGGAAAATTTAATTCTAAATTAATTTAACAGTATATATTTACATGCTTTTGTAATATCATGCATCAGTGAAACAAAAAAATTTCCACTGTATCATCTCAGGTCAAAATTACAGAAAAAATACTCTTTTATGAGCTTTAAAGCACAACGTTAATATAATCAATTTTAGTTACTTGTAAAATAGATTTGATAGAAGAGGGGGATAAATTGAACTTAAAACCAAAGTAGCTGCTCTTCACAGTAGCTGTAAAGGAAGGGAATCTTATATAATAAAATTATCTGAGCATGTACTAAAATTGCACACAGTTCGCATTTGTAAAGAAACTATTTTTATATTTTTTCTTCATTTATATCAAAGGGCTTCCAGTAACCACAATGACTACAGAGCATCTCATTTTTTTAATTTAAAAGCTCTGTGTATAATTTTTTCATCACCTTAGAAATAATACTTCATATATTTTACCAAGTTTGAAAAAGAAGAATTTTTGAATAGTCATTTTATCTTAATTGGTCAGCAAATGAAGTATAATGACATAGCTGAAGCATAAGTTTAAGCTAAGAATTAAAACATCCAGCAAGTGTTTAAGTGGAAATATAGTTCAACAATATTCTGGAAACCTGGGACATGGAACCAAAGATTAGTAATCAGGTTGATCATTGACCTATTTGACTAATAAAAGTTCTATATAGTTAACATGTCAGAATTTAAGCCTGGGTTAGAGATACTAACAACCAAATGTTCTCTCCAGTACAAATACACACAAATAACAAATACGTTTATAAATAAATAAATAACATTAACACTGTTCAATGATTTATTTTTATAGCCTGTTAAAATAATGTGTCAAATTACATATTGAGCAATATTGTGCCACAAACAATGCCCAATGATTCTGAGTACCATGAAGGTAAATACCAATACTTTAAAATTTTCAATTATGGTCATCGGAAATTTACTAAATGAGTTTAGCATGAGTTCTTCATAGTTATTTTAGTGGGCATTTACGGGCTCCATATAATTTGAATTATGTGGCATAAATGAAACCATCCTTTCTAATCAGGAGGAAATGAGATGTTATCACAGCACGACTTGGCATTGGCTATTCCCACTGCTCCACTCCAGGTGCTTCGCCACTGGGTGGATTTGGCCAGTTGACCGTTGCTGGCCCGCCACCCCGTGTCCCTCAGATCACTGCATGAGTGGAAAGCCATATGGTGCGGTTCTGTTAACTATATTAAAGTTGGAGTCATATTTTGGCCAGCTTTGTTCTCATAACTAAGATTCAGAATTATATTCATGCAAATTTCTATACATTTGCTGCCTACTGGTGTAACTAAGCTAGCGTTTGTTAGACATTTGCAGATAGAAAATTGTGTTAGAATTTAAACTTAATGACACTAATTGAGAGGAAAAATAAACAGAGAAGGATGACAATTTAGGTTCACCCTGCATTTACCTGTGAAGAAGCAGTCTTCAGTGTGGACGATGGTAATCTTTTGTCTCTTCAGGCAAGCAGCTCTGTGCACTTCACAGTGGTTTTCATAGAATTCTCCATCAGATCCGCACACCGGTTTGTAGTGCCGTTTGCAGAGGTTCATGCAGGCACATTCTGGTTGTCCCGTCTCTCTGCTGATAACACAGTGCCTTCCCAAACCACAGTACTTATTTTCACAAGACCCCAAAGGGCCATTCTGAATATGGAATCCTGAGGATAAAGGACAGAAAATCATTTGGATTCATTTGTCCAAATAATACGTTCCTGCTAAAGTTTCAAGTGAAAACATCTGTCTAAGAGGAATATAGCAAAATCAGGCTTCAGTTGCACTCAGCAGAGAAAGGACTTAGAACCAGCAGATGAACTTTTTCAAAATATGTTCCACATTCTTCCCTCCCTCCCCTTCTCTCCTTGAGCATTCTTCTTTCTCCCCAGTGAGCAGTGTGGTCCTCAGAACAAAGTCTCTAAAACTAAGCTGCCCAAGTTCAAATACGGGCTCCAACACTTATTAGCGTTACGGGCTTGAAAAAAATGACTTCTCTGTGCCAAACTGTCCATCTGTAAAAAGGGGATCCAAGGGTGTTCAAACTTTTGGCAATTCTGGGCCACGCTGAAAGAAAAAGAGTTGTCTTGGGCCACTCATTAAACACACAAATACTAATGAAAACTGATGAGCAAAAAAAAATTTTTAGGTAAATTTATGATTCTGTGTTGGGCTGAATTCATAGCCATCCTTGGCCGCCTGCAGCACCGTGGGTAGGACACCCTGGGTAGACCATCTCTTATTGTTGTACAAAACACTAACTGGAATAATCTGCAGAGAGCCCATCCTTAGCACACTGTAAACGTTTAACAAATGTCAACTTTTACATTAACAGAATTCTGGGGAGGGGAAAGAAAATGTACATATATATAAGGCAGGAAATAGGGTATAGGAATGAAAAATAGGATCTTAAAAACTTCTTAGTAGGCTCTAACAACTGATCATTTCTTTTTTTGACCTTGCCAATTTAACAATCACTTATGTATTTCATGACTGATTAATAAATCATGGATTTTCTTGTTACTTATTCACTTAATAATCCCCAGTGGCATAAGGAAAGTATAGATGGATTCAACAGTTTTGTACTAAAACCCAACAACTTCAATCCCTATGCTTTTGTAGGCAGAGCTGGAAAAATAGGGTTAGGAAGAGCACAGGGCTTGGGCTTGGCCCATATAAAACTTCATTTACATGTTAGTTATTATTAGTAGTATTTTGTCTTTATAGAAACTAACTTTAAGAAGGACAAACATACACCAATGAAAAAGTATTTAAAGAATCAATTTTATTTGTTTTTAAATAAAAAATATGCAGCACTTTTTTCCATACATATGTAGGTAATTCCCCCCAAAAATTAACAAAATTTAAAAGATTCAAATAAAGATGAACATTATCAACAATGTAATTGCTATTTTTTGATAGCAATATAAATTGGAACAAATGTTTTTGTAAACACTTTAAAATACTTGTCCTCTTTGATACTGTATTCCAATTGTTAAACAATATTCTTTAAAATTTAAAACAAAAATATAATTTATTGAATGAAACTTTCCAAAAGTATTATATTTCAAATAATTTATAACTTAGTGAAATGTTTTAGTACATTTTAGAAAATATTTAATGTGGTACTTCTTGAAGTTTGGCATGTAATATAATGGCTTAGTGAAGTGGTTAAAAACATAGCTTCTGCCTCCACTCAACTCTATATTTTCTGAGTCAGCAGATCTGGGGTCCAGCTCCAAATTTGTAACTCTAAGCTGACAGGTGATGATGCTACTGCTGCTTCCAGCATCACAACTTTGGGGCCTTTGGCTTATTGAAATTATGATTTGTAATAAAAATAAATATAACACAAAGAAAACAACCAGGTAAATAATTATGAAAGCTCTTGCATAGATGAGAAAATATGAGAAGTTTATACTATAATTAAAACCATCTAAAATAATGTGGGTATTTAGAAGGAATGAGAAAAAGACATAAAAAAATGACAATTTGCTTCTGTTATATTATTACTTCATAATGTTCAATGTGATACATCAAAAAGAAAGTTTAAAATTATATTAATTATAACTACAAATTAATGACCAACTTCAATTTGGAAAATCATTGTCCTTATCCTTATAGGAGTACTTATGCCAATGGTTGATGTTTCTAGGGTTCAAAATGGGGCTGCCATTTTTGGTGAGAAATACTCCGCTCTAAAAGGAAGTCATTTCTGGTGTATCTAGAATGGTAGGTATCTTTCACAGGTTCTCTCCTCTTCAATTTTTCTTCTCAACATCTATACTACAGTTCAGAGATCTGTATTAGAATACTGGCTATTTTGTAGAAGTTAATGAATTAGTTTACACTAGCTAGAATCTGTGTGTTGCACATAGCTGCTACTATTAAATAAAATTTAATTAATTCATGTGCAATCCAAAAGAAAACTCATGTTATGTAAATGAGTAGCTTAGACGTATCCTTTTTGACAGTAATTATCCATGACTAATGCTGAACTTAACTTTTAGCTGAAATTAAATCAATTTAATCTGATCAACATTTCAAAAATTTCTTTTACATATATTCAATCAGAAAACACACTAAATGAATTTTAATCAGGAATGTATAATCTGCTATCCCATAAGTTTATAAAATAACATTTGTTCCCACAAAAGTGCTTTATATTTAACAAGTACATCATCATAATTTTTATGTCTTCAGAGGTTTACAAAAATTCCTCAGATTTAAAACAAACAAAGAGAAAATACATATTTGGTAGTTACAAAATAGTCACTGGAATGTAAAGGAAAGCACAAGGAATATAGTTCATCACAGTGCTATAATTATGTATAGTGCCAGGTGGGTACTGGAATATCGAGGTGAACACTATGTAAAGTATATGACTATCTAACCACTAAGCTGTTCACCTGAAACCAATGCAAAATAATATTGAAAGTAAACTGTAATTGAAAAAAAAATCATCTTTGAATCATTGAAATTGAAAAATAAAATGAACAAAGCTGAAACATTACAAAATGAAAGATTCCGACTCATAAGTAAAATAATTCTACATAGTTCTAAAGATGGTCTTTTGAGATTCTCAACCATGATGAAATTCTCTTTGAGTTATTTATACAATATACTCTCTATCAAATAGGTAGTTAATATAAAGTGGGTCTAAACTGAAAGAAACTTTAATAAAATGTAATTATTGCTGTGTGCAGGGTTGCTATAGAATAGAGGAATAGAGTGGAGATTGACACTTTTCCTATTGCTTAGAAAGGGCATTAAGACAGGATGTGAGAGAACCTAAGTAGAGAGGCAAAGATTTAGGGGCACATTTAGGGGCACAGAGGAGAATGGAATGGGTATCAGACCAGACCTCATAGACAATGTACCCTGTCACAATTAAGATTATGTTTATGGAATGAATTAGAAGTTTAGAGGCTAATATATGGAGAGACAAGGTATGAAACAGATGCTGAATTTAAAACAGTAACAGCAAAGGGAGGGAAGAACTGGATTTTGATGAGTTAACTACCTCTAGTGAATATAATGGTAATAAACATAATTGATTTAGAGTGCCAAGCTATTTGAGCCACTGTCTTATAAAAAATAAGTAGTAGTAAAGTCCAAGCTGTAAGCATTCCATTAACTTTGGTTTGTTAGAAAGAACAACAGATTTCTGGTCAGAGAACAACATTATAGTATTTGCTTTTCTATTTTATATTAGTCTGACCTCAACTGGGTCTGTGATTCAAATAGTAAAATAAGAAGGAACTAATAAATCATCTTTGTATTTACTTTCATCCAAACAATCCTTTCATTTAAGAATGCTTAACCTTTTTAGGTGAAGGGATTAAGCAAAGGGGAAAAAAATACCTCATAGACACAGACAACGGCTTGGTGATTACAAGAGGGAAAGGGGTTAGGAAGGTAGAAGAGGGTAAAAGGGGGATAAATAGTCATGGAAGGAGACTTGATTGGGGTGGTGAACACCCAGTACAATATACAGGTGATATATTTATTATAGAAATCTGAAACCTATATAATTTTATTAACTAATATCACCCTAATAAATTCTATAAATAAATTTTTTGAAGTTGCTTGTAAAAACATAGTTTTACAACAAAGGCTTACGTCTGAGAAATATATTTAGTAAGCTTTCTCAGGACACCTAATATTTAAACTTTGCCTGCACTAAACAACCATATATTCATAATTCTCTAATTTAAATACGTATAAATTGTAGAAGTAGCATCAGCTATTCTACATGCAACATTATTTTTAACTTAGATTTTTCTAAACTACTTTTTTCCTAAGGTTTTGTCATTATTTGTTTTATTTTTATATCAGGTTAAAAGTTACAAAAGTGAACTTTCAAATCATTCTTTTATTTATAGCCCACTGTCACTATAAGTGTGATTAAAGGCAAATTAGTAAAAAAAAAAAAAAAAAAAAAACCCCAACATGGAGCGCATGTTTCCTCATCTAAGTAGAACACAAAGAACCTCCATAACTTTTATTTAAATGAGTAATTAGAATGGAGATAATAATCATCATTATAGTATCATGTGGTGGTTTAGAGGATTACGTGAGATGATGCAATGAAAGTGTCTGCCATGAAGTATGTGTTTAACAAATACAGTTATTATTAAAAATTATCAGTTACTATGATTTTTGTCATATAGAATATATTTACCTAAAAACATTAGAATAAATAAAGAACAGCCTTTGATAGCTCTAGCTTTCATTACATCTATTGGAATGTATTTATAGGAGTATTGAAATGTGTGTTTCCAAATAATGCACCTATATTTTTCAAAAGAATCCACTATATAAGATTTTCCCTCATCTTCATAAAAAAAGAAAAGAAAAAAGGCTTAGATTTCTATTATTTTGTATTTTGATTTAGAAATAAATATAATATTTTGGTAACATTTTGGTACCTATTTATGGAAAAGTTGTGAACCTACAGTAAATCCAAAATATAAATACCTGTTGCACATTGTAAACTCTGACAAAATACATTCAGTCCTCACAAACGTCATGGCAAGTGGCAGTTCAAGTACATACTCCAATGCCTGCAGAAGACTGAACACAGTATGATCTATGTATGACTCTTAATGATCGGGATATGTATTGCCTTGCTCTTTGGTGTCAGTCAAAACAAGGCAGCCTTACT